CACGTCTCCCGGCGCCCTCTTGCTGTTTCCGCGTGGCTGCAGGAAAGATAGACGCATTGGGCTGGGTTTGAGCCACACCTCCCGTCCACTTTTTTTTTATAATTACTATTAATCCCAACAATTAAAGTCCCTTCCCCCAGTCATTCTCACCCATCGTACCCCCTTGCTCACCTGGTCTGGGGCACCTCACGAATTGATCAAGTGTCTAAACTTTGCGGCATAAATTTTGAGGACTGAATCATGTCGTTGACCAACACAAAGACGGGGTTTTCGGTCAAGGACATCTTGGACCTGCCAGACACCAATGACGAGGAAGGCTCGGTGGCCGACGGCCCAGAGGAGGAGAGCGAAGGGCCTGAGCCCGCCAAGAGGGCCGGACCGCTGGGGCAGGGCACTCTGGAAGCCGTGCCGAGCCTGCCCCTGAAGAATCCCTTCTACGACAGCAGCGACAACCCATACACACGCTGGCTGGCCAGCACCGAGGGCCTCCAGTACTCCCGTAAGTAGCGAAACTTCGAACTGCGGCCGCCTGGATTACTATGGCCTTGGCACGGGCGGGACACTGGGGGAGGGAAAAGAGCCCTGTAAATGCGGACCTCCTACCCTAGATCCCTGGAAAGGTTTGAACACCCTTTTAGGGTGCCCTAACTCAATTTTCCTGGTCAAGACCCTCTAGTCCCCGGGAAAAAAACCAGTCTCAGATTTTTTTTTTCAATGCAAGGAATTAGGAGAAGGGGAGGAGGGGCGCTCCAATGGATTGGTTCCGGTTGACCACTGGATCTGAAGGACCAGTCCAGAGGGCGAGGGCTCCCGAATTGAATTTCGTGGCCCTGAAGACGATCCTGGAGCTCTGGGGCAAGGCCCGGGTGGGATCAGGACTAAAGAGGCTAGAGGTGGCCCGGGTATGAGCAACTTACCCTACGTCGGTGTTTTGTGCAGTTGTGCAGTGCAGAGGGGGATCCAAAAATAAAAGCCTGAATGCAAAATCGAAGCCTCCCTCGCCCGCTCCCCCCACCCCCGCGCCCCAAAGTGCCTTAAATGGCCAAACTGATCAATGCCTGGATTGTGGGATGAGGAGTGAGAGAGCGATTTTCTTTAAAAAAATTTTTTTTGTGGTGCCCACCTTTCTCGGGAGAGAAAACCGCTTAAGCCTTGACCTGTGATGACGTTCCATGCTTCTCTCCTCTAAACTCCGTGCCCACGCTGTGCGAACCTCCAGAAACGCCAGCCCCAAGCCTTTCTCCCTGGACACCTTTCCATTTTTTTAGCCCTTGGGGACCCCGACGGCTTCAGCCAGCGTGGAGCAGCACGGGGGTCACGGTGAGGGTAGCAGGGCGAGGCAGTTCTCAGAGCCAAAGGCCAGGGCGCACAGCCAAGGATGTTGGGCGCTCAGGGTCTGGGCAAGCCAAAATGCGGCCTCCCGGCGCCTGACGCGCTTCTCTTTCTCCCAGTGCACGGTTTGGCGGCCGGCACGGCCCCCCAGGACTCGAGCTCCAAATCCCCGGAGCCCTCTGCCGACGAATCACCGGACAATGACAAGGAGACCCCAGGTGGCGGGGGGGACGCCGGCAAGAAGCGGAAGCGGAGGGTGCTTTTTTCCAAGGCGCAGACCTACGAGCTGGAGCGGCGCTTTCGGCAACAGAGATATCTGTCGGCGCCGGAGCGGGAGCACCTGGCCAGTCTTATTCGCCTCACGCCCACTCAGGTCAAGATCTGGTTCCAGAACCACCGCTACAAGATGAAACGTGCTCGGGCGGAGAAAGGTATGGAGGTGACGCCCCTGCCCTCGCCGCGCCGCGTGGCTGTGCCTGTCTTGGTTAGGGACGGCAAACCGTGTCATGCGCTCAAAGCCCAGGACCTGGCTGCTGCCACCTTCCAGGCAGGCATCCCCTTCTCGGCCTACAGCGCGCAGTCACTGCAGCACATGCAATACAACGCCCAGTACAGCTCGGCCAGCACCCCCCAGTACCCATCAGCACACCCTCTAGTACAAGCCCAGCAGTGGACTTGGTGAGCGAGGGCCCATGGAGACTGGAGACCCCAGACCCAGGCCCCACCCTGGCGGCGGCGGCGAGGACTGGGTCCCTATTGGGATGATGGTGGTGAGGATGGTTATGCTCTGGAGTTGACCCTCGACTCCGCGCCGGAGCTCCCTGGAGGTGGTCTAGCCTCAGCGGAACGGCAGATTCTATCCCCGCCTCTGCTGGGTCTCTTTTCTTTAAACCATTGCAGAGGGCAGAACTCTAAGCCGTGTTTACAGGATGTTTGTGCAGCTTCTTTGCCTCCCCCTGAGCGGACCAAACTGTCTTAGCGTTACCATTGTCACTTGAAAACGACAGAAAAAGAAAGAAAAACAAAAAGAAAAAAAAATCGCCACCACCCTATCACCTCTTTTTGTGAATTTTGTAAAGTATGTTTGTGTGAGTAGCAATATTGTCAGTTGTCTTCTTCTAAAGCAAGTGGAGAATACTTTTAAAGATAGATACCTTTTTTCTTTTTTTAAATAAGAAAATGCTAAATATTTATGGCCATGTACACGTTCTGACAACTGGTGGGAGATTTGGCTTTTCGTTGTAAATATTGGTGGTGATTGTTGCCAAAATGACCTTCAGGATGGCTTGTTGGACCTATGAGCCCAACTCCTTTCTTTGTGTTTTGTTTTGTTTATGTTTGGATCACCCCCACACTTATTTCCGTTTTAAATTTTGTTCAGTGCAAATATTTCTGAAATATGAAAGAGGAAAAAAAAATGTGTAGGCAAGAAGCCCCTGCCCCTTCCTCTGGCTTCTGAGCCCTGGAACTTGGAGCTCAGGAGTTCCCTGCGATTCCCCAAGAGCGTCGGGCGCTGGAAGCTTTCGAATTTTTTAAAAGAATTTTAATAAAAATCCTGTCCCAAAAAAAGGTCTAACGGCCTGACCCTCCGGTTTTTCTGACTGTCATCCTGTGCCTGGCCGGAGGCCTCAGGCTGGGGGCAAGGCTGGGCCACCCGCTGTGCTCCACTCGCAAATCCTTTCCAGGCCGGAGACTAGGGGCTCCGGCGACAAGGCTCCCCAACACCCGAAAGGAGAGGGAGGAGCGCGCTGTGCCTGGAGAACACGAGCTGTGGGTCCCGGCACGTGGCACCTCCCACCCTCACCTGGGCTCTGCCAGGGCCTTTCAAGCTCTCCTAAGCCAAAGCGAAGAGAGTAAGCCCCCCTCGCTCGCCCAAATCAATGAGTGGCTCCTTCAGCCTGAGAAGCTGTTGAAGCCACTACACTTGATGACTTTCACTTTGTTGCATTTGATTTACCTCG